GTGTTACGTGAATCACTGAGTTGTTCAAGTAATAACACAGTTGTTAAAATTGCTGTGATCTGATAGCCTGAACCCAACAAGTTGACAAAACTGGCAGTTTCCGTGGCAAAGTGATGAACTATTGTAAGTCAAGAACTACCTGTAATTTATTGTTTCTCAACCTCAGCCATTTTTAAAATCTGTGGACTTTAATTTCCAGAATTCCCTAGCCAGCATGACAAACAGTGTAATTAATGCCAGATTACTCTTTACACCTAAAGGCCAAAAAAACAGAACAAAACCCAGGCCTCCCACCTCTAAAAATAAATACAGGTAGTGCTTGACTTACAACAGTTCAGTTAGTAACCATTCAAAGTTATGTCAGTGAAAAAAGAGTTTTATGACCGTTTTTCACATTTATGACCATTGCAGCATTCCTATGGTCACATGATCAAGTTAGACAGGTGGAAACGAACTGATATTTACGAAGGTTGCCGTGTCCCAGGGTCCTGTGATCATCTTTTGAAACCTTCGGCCAAGCAAAGTCAATGGGGAAGCCAGATTCACTTAATGAACGTGTTACTCACTTAATGGCAGTGTTTCACTTAACAACTGTGACAGGAAAGGTCGTAAAATGGGGTAAAACTCACTTAACAAGTGTCTCGCTTAGCAACATAAATTTTGGGCTCAATTGTGATCGTAAGTCGAGGACTACCTGTCCTGTATTATCAAACCTACTGGCAAAATTCAGATTCCTGCTAAAACAAAACCTAGTAAACTTACCGAGAATTTACTTAGCAGTTCCTTTGGATGGCTTTATTTGTCTCCAATACACGTTGTAATATAGATTACACTGCCTAAGAGGTCCTCTAATTATTGTGGAAAACACACAACGTTTGCAGTGATCTAATGGGTGAACCCAGAAGTTGACTGGCAGTTTCCGTGGAGAAATGATGTCAACACGAATGTTCTCAGTGACGCATATATTTACATAAGTCTCGCTCAGAAGTAGAATTCCATAGAATTCACTGGCATTCCCTCTCGAATATCTTATTTCTATTGCTTTACTAATTAACGCATTAGGAGCCCGGCTTGTACAGTATTATATTCCTTTTGGAGTTTTTTTTTTAAACCCAGGTGTGGAAGGCGCAGGAAATAAACGTCATGAAACCATCCCAGACCCCTGTCGCCCCCCCCCCCAACAACTTTTGTTTTCCTAATGAATGGAAAACCCTTAACAATTACACAGAAAGAAAAAAAATCCGGGGGCGGGGAAAGCCCTCTGGTAACTACAAAGCTGCGGATGGAACTTTGGAGTCTATTAATTATTCATGTTTGAGCCGCGCCTCCCAGCTATTACTCGCGACCAATGAGAAACGAGAGAGGCAAGCGAAGGCGGAGGCGCCCTTGGGGGAGGGAGGGAGGGATGGATAAAGTTTGGAACTGGCTCATCAGAAGACAAAAAGAAAAAAAAAGGCGATTTGTGCTGTGATAGTAGCAGAAGAGAGAGAGGCGAAGGCTGTTTGTCTGATAAGGCAAGTTCAAATGGGCGAGAGGGTTGTAGGGAAGGAGAAAGCTGTTGTGATCAACTCTAGCTTAGGTGAGGAGGGCATGGGGGGAGAGTTGTTGGAGATCTGGTGCAGGAAGGGCTGATTCCTCCCCCGCTTCAAATGACACATTGATTAGAAAGGAGTGAATCATGTTGTGAGGAGTGCACAACCACAGTCTGAATTTGGATGGATATGTAATGTCTATGCGTGTTTGAGGAGTTTAGTAGGCCAGGGCTAAAAGAGGGACCTTGGGGTGTTGAGCTTAAGCGACTGCAGTGAGGTCCTTGAGACCAGGATATACATTCATGGTGGTTTAATGCTAGCTAAGTCAAATAAATCTGCCTTTCCCAGACTGAGACCTTTCGTTTGGTTGGACTACAGTCTATTATGTTTGTGCATCATGGAGGGGAAGTTTTTGTATGTAGAGGGTTGTGTGAAGCAGGAGGTGAGTGGTGGGCAGGTGAATGCCAGTTGTTGAGTGCTTTAAAGGTGATTGTGAGAATTGTTTTTAGAGTGTGAGAGATGGGAACAGGAAGGAAAGTGCTCCACTGATTGAGAATATGGGACCACACAAAATTGTAAAAAGGCATCTTAGTTGTTCTAGTGTACTTATGCATTTGGAGAGCCCAGAGAAAAGTGTCCTTGAATATTGCCGAATAAGATGGCTTTCAAGAAATTGAAAATTAGTTTGGGAAAGTCCAAATGCTTTTTCTAAACATGCATGTAGGAGAGCATGATTGCACACACAATTTCTGGTGCTATTTAATATAATTATGTGGAGTTATATAAGTGGCATAGACTGCAGAGACACCACGTGCATAATGAATAGCACTGTCTGAAATGTTTTCTGAATTAAGGTGTGAAAAAGTGGGGCAAAAGACACCTCATGTTTTCAGAGAGACATGTCTATGAATCTAAATATGGGTTGTCTTCAGTTTTATATTAGAAATTGAAGGGTATAAGTACAGAAATAATTGTGGTGAACACATGCAAAGTAATAAACGGATCTGCAACAGAACTGAATATTATATATCTATTCCATATCTTTTGGGAGATGTGGGGGAAAAAGGGAAATAACAATTTAATAGTGTAGTTAGCTATTTTCAAATGGGGATACTCTGTGAAATGGGCAACTTGCATGAGAATAAATGTAGGAAGTCTGTTAGCTCATCCGACAGAAAGTTAGATGTGTATCGGCAAGGAAGCTAAAATGGCACCTCATGAGTTTGTGTGAAAGTGGGGGTGGGTGGATAGAATCACTTACATCAGTACCCCAGGAAATGACTTTATCTTTCAGAGAATCTGTGACACACTAACTCTGAAACACAGCGCTTCCTCTTCTGCTTCTCTCTCAGATGTCTTACAAAACTTTTTCAGTGGTAGGGAAATATAATCTAGGCGAAAATTATGATGAAAGTTCCCCTAGTTTTCTGAAGTACTACATCGTGACTGCATGTGATTTTTATCCACCTGTTTTCTAAAACTTAAATTCTGGGTATGAAAGTAATAGCATTCTCCTAATGCAGTGTTTCTCAACCTTGACAATTTTAAGGCACGTGGACTTCAACTCCCAGAATTTGTGGAATTCTGGGAGTTGAAGTCCACATGCCTTAAAATTGTCAAGGTTGAGAAACACTGTAAATGTTACTCCGGCAGTTCCCATCCAGTTTTCCCTATCACCCCATCTTCCCTCCTATTATGGACTCTCAGTATGCTCAGATCTCATTGGTTTGAATTGTATTTATTTCTCCCACTCTTTTAAAAAATAAAATCTGTTTTCATGCTTTCTGTTTTGGTTTGGTATTTCAATAGACCTTGGGGTTCCACAAACTTCTAGTATTTTCCTCTCCTTATGCTTATACACATCCACGTGCAAAATCAGAGTTTGGTTTTGGTATTAATATATAGAATCCTGTTGATGAACACGGGAAGGTCTGTACAGTATAGTTACAAGAACATTTCTAGGCCAGCTTTCATCACTTGGATACCCTGCTAATATGTTGGAAGAGAAAAACTGGAGAAGAAAGTAAAAGAAATCTTCAGCCTTGAAGAAAAAAATGGATTAACTTTTATTAATAAATTAATAAAATGGAAAATTATGAGAGTTGAAGTCTAACAGCCCTGGAAGATATCAGGTTGAGGAATGCTGTGATATGTCTCTAAATATAATTTAATGTCTGTGAAATGACGTATTTCAGAGGTTGAGCAATGCCCATGTTTCAGTTGTCATGAATTTTCAGGGGTATCTTCAGGATGTGTGTGTGTGTGTGTTTGTGTGAGAAAGTCGAGAAAATAGTCCTTTCTCTTTTTTATATCGTGTGCACAATATATATATTGTATTGACCAATTCTGTGGAAACTCCTGACCATCGGCAGAAGGAAAAACAACATGTACTCTTGATATACCTCAGATTTCTTAAACCTGGCAATTTTAAGATGTTGCCTGGTTGGGGAATTCTGGGAGTTAAAGTCCAGACAGTTTAAAGTTGGCAACTTTGAGAAACATTCATGTACAGCCATGTTCTGTCATTGCTGCATGTTGAGCTGTTTTCAGAGATACAGCCACAATGTCTAGTTAAAAAAACCCTTCAAGATTCAACTTAAGGGTGGGACCTGTTAATCATTTGGAAACAGCTGGCAACTGTCATTGTTATTGCCAACAAACTGTGTCTTCCTTGTCAGTGAATAATGTTTTCTTACCTTTTTCAAATAATTTCTAGAATCTTAGAACTAGCTTCTGGTTCTCTGGAACCAAGTGGGCCATTGCTGTGATCTCACCCTGCAGATTTCGAGGTTACAATACAAGTAGTTCTCAACTTACAACAGTTCCTTTAGTGACTGTTCAAAGTTACAACGGCACTGAAAAAAGTGACTGACTGTTTTTCACAATTATGACTCTTGCAGTATCCCCATGGTCACATGATCAAAATTCAGATGCTTGGCAACTGACTCATATTTATGACAGTTGCAGTGATCATCTATTGCGACCTTCTGACAAGCAAAGTCAATGGGAAAGCCAGATTCACTTAATAACCATGTCACTAACTTAACAAATTGCAATGATTCACTTAACAATTGTGACAAAAAGGTCATAAGGCAAAATTCACTTAACAACTCTTTCACTTAGCAACGTAAATTTCGGGCTCAATTGTGATCATAAGTCAAGGACTAGCTGTAGAGGCCTAGACTCCAATTTTTAGAATCCTTCCTTTTTTTTAATAAAGTCCCTCAGGAGATGTTCTGGATATTGCCTATAATCAGGGGTAGGCAACCTTGGCTCTTTTATAACTGTTGGACTTCAACTCCCAGAATTCCTGCTCAGGAATTCTGGGAGTTAAAGTCCACGAGTGATAAAAGAGCCAAGGTTGCCTATCTGTGGCCTATACTGATGTAGATGGGGCTTGGAAAGGGCTTGGGTCTCAGCTAACATATAATAAAACTCAATGTTTTTTTTTCTCCTTCCAACAGGAAGAAGATAATGTCTCACAAAGGATGTCTCAGTGTTACAAAATACTTCCTCTTTCTCTTCAATCTTTTCTTTTTTGTGAGTACATGGCTGGGGGCCAGTTGCATAGTCAGCTAGAGAATTATGATTTGCAGCCAGTTCGTGAAGCTGTGTTTATGCAGGGTGGGAAAAGAGGAAAGAATGGCTACTATACGTAGATGTATACTTTTTAAAACAATCAAACCGAAAATCTCTTCCCCCTTCTTCAGATCCTTGGAAGTCTGGTCTTCGGCTTTGGCTTGTGGATACTTTTTGATCAAAATAATTTTGCTTCCACACTTGGTAAGTTTCCATCTCCTTTTTCTAAATAGTGTAGAGAACATATGATCATAAATGGGACTGGAAAAATTCATTGTCAAGTGGTGCAGTCATGTGACCACACCTGATTTTATGACCTTTTTTGCCATCGTCATTAAATGAACTATCATTCTCGGGTTTTTTTTTATTAATTTATAATATAAAATACAAAAATACAAAGGAAAACGTTAGGGAAATAGGGGAAGGAGAAGGAAAGAGAAAGGTGTAGGGAAAGGGGAAAAAAATAAAGAAAAGGCGTTGACTTCCAACTCCCTTTGGTGCAGTATAATAAGATAATAGCATCAAACCTCATTTTTTTATTTTTACATAATAGTATAAACTAGCTATTTCTGTAACAACAAATCTAATTGGTAAAACCCAAAATCAAATTTTCGTTTTTTTCCACCTCAAGCAGAAGTGGTTTCCAAGTAGAAACAAAAGTAATTGTGTGTTTTTTTTCTTTAACGAAGGCAGTCAATTTAGCCATCTCTGTTAACTTCATCAATTTTTGCAGCCATTCATCCATTGTGGGAATCAAAGTGTCCTTCCATTTTTGTGCAGAAAGTAATCTTGCTGCCATCAACATATATAACATCAAAGTTTCTAATTTTCCCCCCTATTTTTTCCCCTCACTATCTTGCTCGTTAAGTGAGATGTGTGATGTCCATTTCCAACCTTCCCTGCCAGCTTCCCCGTTGACTTTGCTTGTCATAAGCTGGCAGGATGGTGCAACTGTTGTAAATACGTGTCTGTTGACAAGTGCCTGAATCAGAATCACATGACCGTCACAATGCTGCTGCACTTGTAAGTGCAAAGATCAGTTATAAATCACATTTTCAATGCCATTTTGATGTTGAATAGTCACTAAGCAAATGGTTGTAAGTCAAGGACTATGTAGCTTTTTTTCAAAAGACTTAGGCTTATTTGGATGTAGGCCCAGTAAACCGGGCTTGATTCTTCCAAACATTTCTGTCAGTTGAGGAACAAGGAAAGAATAGAGCAGTGGTTCTCAACCTTTTTAATGCCGCGACCCCCAGCCGGTTGTACGTCGAGGACTAAACCGGTCGTAAGTCGAGGACTAAACTGGTCGTAAGTTAAGGACTACCCAACCGGTCGTAAGTCGAGGACTTTCCCTGCCCGGGAGCGCCGCGCATACGTGGTTCCGCCCCCTGCGCCAGCCGAGGTGTAGCTAGCAAGCGGCAGAGACGGAGCAGGCCGACCACCAGCTGGCCCAGCCCAAGGGAGGTAAGGCACCCGCCGGAAAAGGGGAAAAAAATGGCGGACAGCCTTGCTTGGCGACCCCCGTGAAATGGTCGATCGACCCCAAATGGGGTCGCGACCCATAGGTTGAGAACCGCTGGAATAGAGACTGCTTATTATTATTGACTTCTTTTCTATCATTTGTACCTTTTCAGTTTTTGATTGTTTCTTCCTTCCTTCACAGGGTCCTCATATTATGCTCTCAAAATATGGTCCTACATTTTCTCGGGTGCGGGCATCCTAACAATGTTATTGGGATTTCTTGGATGTTTGGGCTCTCTCAAGGAAATCAAGTGTATGCTAGGATTTGTAAGTAGCTGGGTAGAAGCTGTGGGCCTCTATTCTAGTGCTATCTAAGAAAGGGAAATAACATTTATTGGGTTCAGTTAGGTAGGAACATCATGTAGCGCCTGTATCCGAAACAATGCACCTCTTAAAAAAATTTTTTTTAAAAAAGCATTCTAAATACTTCACCAAATGGAACAAGTTTTGGAAGATTTTGGTGATCTTTTCAGGAAGACAAAAACCTTCTGAAGTTTTGAGATGAAACATTTAAGTTCTAAGAAATTTGGTGGGCAATTTGAAAAGAATATTTTAACCATGTGATGCAGACTTGTGGGATAGAGTTTAGGGTGAGAAAAAGTTGCCAACTCCTGGATTAAATTCTGGAAACTAGGATTCTCTCTGGAAACTGGATCTTCAGACTAAGACAATGAGGTAACATGAAAGCAAAGAATTCCTGCAATTGAAAGATTGTGAATAATCTTTACTGTGGGGTCCTTGGTGCTCTCTGAGCATGATTGTTTTCTTGCAAATGTTTCATTGCCAAACTAAGTAACTTCATCAATGACCAATACTGATGATGTTACCTAATTTGGTAATGAAACATCTCCAAGAAAACTACCAAAGTCAGACAGTAACAAGGACCCCACATTCAACGCTGAACTACAAAAATTCTATTCTATTCTATTGGAATCATTAACTCTATAAAACAACTGAAAAAGCTGATATACTTTATTTGGAGGGTAGGTGTAACTGTGCTGACACTTATATGGCATTCAATTACATTTATTTCATCTTTAATATAAGACTGATGTATTGATAAAACGATGGCATAGCATTCTAGTTAATTAATGGCTCAGGTGATCCCTCCAGACAGGGGTAAAAATCCGGTTCTGTGCCTTTTAATAACACAACAGAATAAAGGAAGGAGAACCTGTATAGTGCATGAGGCGGTAATTTCCCAAGAGGCTTTTGTAGTGGGAAATGCAGAAAGGTAATTATGCTCTGTGGTATTTTCCCTTTGTAGTGATATATTTGGTACCTTGTGATTTAGCTGCAGATGAGGTTTCAATGTTTACAGCAGTGGTTCTCAGTTTTTAATGATGGCTGCTAGATTTTTTTTTAATGGTGATTGCTTGGAGGTCATGTACAGTATAGCATGTGGCTGTATTTTAATAATACTTATCAAATATAGGCAAAAATGCAGATTAAAAATAAATTTAGCATGCTTGTTTGTAAGAAACCTGAAGAAATGTTCATGTGAATGAATGAATGAATGAATAAATAAATAAATAATTGATACCATGGTGATGTTGACTGATTTTGCTGGCCTTTTCTCTCTCCCTCAATAGTACTTTGCCTTCCTATTGCTCCTGTTCGTTGGTCAAGTCACCATTGCAATCTTGATACAGACACACAGCAACACGGTAAGCAGTGTCATAAATCAGAAGATTGCTCATAAAATGGTCACCATACACCTATTTCAACAATGCTTTGCTCTACCAGAAGGATTTCCCCCTCCCCTCTCATTCCCTTCTTTTTTTTTTTTATTCCTAGTCCTTGATCTGGTCTACATCCTGGATAACAGCCTTCCCCAAGATCATGCCCCTTGATTGCTGAATGCTTCTTTGCATATACAATGGCCCACGTATGCAAGGGAATCTAATGTTCTCTAGATAAGGAGTCCCCAGCCCCTGGGCTGTGGCCTGTTCAAAACTGGGCCGTGCAAGTGATGGGCGAGCGTGCAGAACCTTCCCCTCTCCCCCACCGCCACCACTGGTTCGCAAACCCAGAATGATTAAATCTAGATGTTAAATCCCACCAAAATAAATAAAAGGTTTGCTGGGACAAAAGAGATTGGTAATAAAGCATCTGGAGAGAAAGGCATTTCTAAACGAGCTCACTACCTGCATATCCTTGTTTTCCATTTACAAGAATTCCTGGGGAGAAAACAATGTGATCCTGTAACGTGATCTGAAATATAATACTGTGTTCCACCATTTTGCAAGTTTACTAGGCAACCTTGGCTCTTTTATGAGTCCACGAGTCATGGCTGGCTCAGGAATTCTGGGAGTTGAAGTCCACGAGTCATAAAAGAGCCAAGGTTGCCTACCCCTGAGCTAGACTAAATCCTTTCTCTTTTTGTTTCTTTTTCCCTTTCCTTTCTCTTTCCCTTTCTCTCTTTCTCTGCCCAGAACCAAAATGGGTGGGGGAGGAATGACTAGGGCCTGTGAAAGAGAAGAATCAATTTGCACTCAATATTTCTGTGTCCTTAGTGACTCACAGATGTGGGGTGGCATAAGAGCAGATGTGTGACAGGGTATATAAAAGAGTGAGAGAAAATATATATACACACACCACACACACACACACACACACATATATATATTCATTCATTCATTCATTCATTCTCCGGGAGTAAATGTGATGTTTGTAAATTATGATTTACAAATCATGTGATTTGTTAATCGCAAAAATGTCTGCTTTTTGCCACTTTTTTTCATCTGGCTTACACTACAGCCAAAGTTATCCCTCTCCCATTCTTTGTGCAGGCTTTGGGTTCTTTAAAATCCTTTCATAACAAGCATGCATACTGTATGGTGATGCCTTTAATAATTGGTTTGGTGCCTTAGCAAAAGTAATTAAGGCTTGGGGTTAAAGTCTTGCATGATGCAATTGAGTAAGAGAACTAGCTCCCTTTCTGGAAGGGCCGGGTGATCAACAACTTTGTGTGGGGTGTTGAGAGGATGGAAAAGATTTGGTGTTGTAGTTGCTGTCAGCGCTGTTCTCCACTGCTGGATTCTCTGGGAAAAGAAAATAAATCTTGCATCCTGTTTGGTTTGAACTTTTGTCCACTGAGAATAGAGTTTGGGCAGAACCTCCCATTCTACTCCAAATAAAGGTAGTCCTTGACTTACAACAGTTCATTTAGTGACCGTTCAAAGTTACAACGGCACTGAAAAAATTACTTATGACCAGTTTTCATACTTAACAACCATTGCAGCATCCCCATGGTCACATGATCAAAATTCAGACACTTTGCAATTGACTCATAGTGATGACGGTTGCAGTGTCCCAGGGACAGGTGATCCCCTTTTGCGACCTTCTGGCAAGTGAGGTCAATGGGGAAGCTAGATTCACTTAGCGACGGTGTTACTAATTCAACACCTGCGGCGATTCGCTTAGCCACTGTGGTAAGAAAGGTCGTAAAATGGAGCAAAACTCACTTAACAAATGTCTCACTTAGCAACAGAAATTTTGGATTGCAGTCGAGAACTACCTCCAGATTTTATTCCTAATTTGGTTTTTGAAAGAAGTGGGCACCTGATTTTCTGTGTTTGAACCAAGCCTCATCTATCAAGCAAGACTTGTCTCCTCTTCTGCGCGCTGGGAGGACTCCAGGGAAAACAGGATGCTGATCTGTCGCCGATAGACGCACCTTTGTTTTTACATATGATATAAAGAGCCTAACTAAGTTTGCTATTCCTCCCACATGTAGATCAGTTCAACAGTGGCTGGACACGTAAAAACCATCATTGCAGGCTATGGAATAAACGCATCACTTTCAGATCATGGTGACAGCTGGGATTTTGTGCAAGAGCAGGTAGGCTGTCTTCCTGTCATGTCACTGTAACAGTAATGTTAGTTTTTCCATCCTTTACCTCCATTGATGTGATTTTTTGGGGATATATTTGGCTGTATGTAGGGTGACTCGCATAACATGCTAAGCCATAAGGTGGTTTGTTTAGATTTGGCCTGGTGTGCTGGGTGGATGTAGCCATATGGCTTGAAAGTCATGATATGTGAATTTTAAAAATTCTGGTTGATTGGCATGGTTAAAGCCATGTTGGATGAGTCCAGCCATAGAGTCAACCTACAACTGAACTTAGTTCATTCATCAGGTATGGCTATGATGCCATATTTACTGATATTGATTGCATATATATGTAATGCTGTGGTGGCACAATGGTTAAAATGCAGTATTGCAGGCTAATTCAGCTCCCTGCCCGGGCTTCAGTCCTCACCGGTTCAAGGTTGACTCAGCCTTTCATCCTTCCGAGGTCAGTAAAATGAGGACCCAGATTATTGGGAACAATATGCTGACTGTGTAAACCGCTTAGAGAGGGCTGTAAAGCACTGTAAAACGATATATAAGTCTAAGTGCTATTGCTATACAGCCTGCTTTTCTCCATATTGGAGCTCAAGTTGGCATAAATAAGAGCAGTTGTTCTCAACCTTGGCAACTTGAAGATCAGTGGATTTCAACTCCCAGAATGTCCCAGCCAGCATGTTCATTTAAGAGTTCTGGGAGTTGAAGTCCATACATCTTCAAGTTGTCAAGGTTGAGAAACATAGGATAAGAGACTTTATGGAGTCTCCCATTTAGGCATGGACCGTGCCCGTATCTGCTTAATTTCAGCAAAGTTGTGCCAACCCTGTGCTGGGGAACACTTTTCCTCTAGTAGTTTTTTCTGTTGCAGAATAAAAAGCAGTGATTTTCTTAAAATGGATGATTCCAGTACACAGACAGGAAAGTTTTGTCTCTCCAACCATCTTCTCTTTCTCACTGTCTTCAATCCCATCTCTTTTTCTTAGTTCCAATGCTGCGGCTGGACAGGCTGGACAGACTGGATGGAAAATAGCAGAGTCAGAAATGCCTCAAATAAACAGTTTCCCTGCTCCTGTCGTAACACCTCTGTTCTACCTTCAGCCCACAACAGAACAACTGCCAAGCCGGCCCTCTTTTGCCGAGTAGAGGGACAGTTGCCAATCAACAATAGAGTGAGCAGCCCATGCATTGTTCTTGGGTTGGGGGTGTGCACAATGCAGTCTATCCCCTTTGGGTACTTGTGGTGACGGCTGCATTCCTCTGTTGACATAAAACAGTTTTTTTAAAACTTGACCCAAATCCTGCAGGGGAAAAAGTCATGGAATGCCAGCATTCTCTGTGCCCACCAGTATTTGTATCCAGAATGTTTAGGCAATTATTTAAAAGGGGGCAGGGAAGCATGCAAGTGATCGTATGACAGTGTCTGAAAAGGATGCCAGTTCCTGCTCATCCAGGAGAAAGAGGGGGAGAATTTGTGCACAAGATATTAAGCTTGCCACGTTCGTTCTCCTGTTTAGTTCCTGAAAAGAGATGGCTTAAGAGGCAATTGGATGTGGGAGATGATTGTTAAAAAAAAAAACATAGGAAGGAGAGCATAGATGGAACAGCTTATTCCAATGCATTTGGAGATGCCAAATTGAGGGAAACTGTAATAGATCTTCCGGTAATAGATCTTCCAAAAAAGGGTGCTGTATATTGATTGATTCCAATTTTGAGGCTCTCCAACTCCTTGTCAACTGATTGGCTTACAAATAAACAAAACATAGAAAACATGGCAAACTAGAAGAGCAAAACTAAGCTAAATTAAAAGGACCATCCCCCAACCATTCTGTCCTGAGGCCTGGGTGAATATCCAGGTTTTTTAGTGATAACAGTTTTTGTCCAGTTTGGCACTTTCTAGGCGGGTGGTTGATTTGATGGTAGCCAGAAATAGGACCGTTCAAAATGAAAAAAAAATTTTTTTTCCCTATCCTATCCACTTCTTTTCATGTATTGATTTCCATGTCACTATGCCATTGCACCTTGTTCTTACTTTTTCCAACCATGAAAGAATAGAATTAATCTACGTGCAAAAAGCAGTTGTACAGAAGAGAATTACACATTATTTTGGGACCACAATTGATATATATCCATTTGATAAAAATTTTTATTTCTGAGTAGCATGCATTTCTGTTTACAAAAATGGTATAATAAAATGAGAAGCAGCTGTGCATGATTATAGTAATGCTATTTAAAAAGAAACAAAGTCTACTGAGAACAAAACATCTAGCCACAGCCCAGAATGGGAGTTCTAGCTTATAATTTAAAGCCAAGTCTTACACCTCTCCTAACCTGTAACAGGGTAGGGCTAATCAGATCTCGGGGTTATGTTATTCCAAACAAGTAAGGCTGCAACGGAGAAGACTTTGCATCTTGGGCCTTGTAAACCACCTCCTTAAGGAAAAGGGCTTGGAGTGAATCTATTTGGATGGACACAAGCTACTGGGGCAAGTTGGTCTTGTAAAATATGTAGGCCTTAGCCATAGAGGTGAGTCTTTCTGCTGAGTCCTTAAAATGAACAGCAAGTTGGTGTGGGAGTGATGAAAGGAAATAGGTATTCATACACTGCAAAAGTAATTTGTGGCACTCAAGGCTTCCTGATATGGAGAAGGACAGTGCCATGGGTGTTTCTGAACATTAGTAAGCCAGATTCGTAAAGGAAAGGACTAGCAAAGGCAAGGCTAGGATCAGAGTGCAGAAAACAAAGATGAGGTGTTCTTTTCTGATTTGTGTGTGTGTGTGTGTGTGTGTGTGTGTGTGAGAGAGAGAGAGAGAGAGAGAGAGAGAGAGAGAGAGAGAGAGAGAGAGAGAGAGAGAGAGAGAGAGAGAGAGAGAGAGTTTTTTGGCTATATCTGCTGGGCTGCAATGTGGGAGTGAGTGAGATGTGCCTTATAATTGATCTGACAAGCGTTGTGCTTGGAATTCCATCTGATGCTCCTTTTTAATGTATTTTTTGTCTATTTGCAGGGCTGCAGGGAGAGCGTCCAAACCTGGCTGAACAATAACCTCATCAGCATTGTAGGGATCTGCCTTGGGATTGCTCTCCTAGAGGTAAGCGCTCCTTGGTGACGACTGGGTATAGCTACATTTCTACCAACAGAAATGTAGAAATAATAACAGAGATGTGCAAATATTGATGGGTTTGGAGACCTCCCAAAATCATTACAAAATCATTCAGTTTATACCACCTCGTATGGTATTTTCAGGACCGCCCAAAGACATTTTGTAATAATAGCAATCTTCTTTTCCCATCAACCCCATTATATAAAGGCATCAACCCCATTATATAAAGGCATGTAGTACTGAAATACAATTGGGTCTTGTAGGCAAAAAAATCTCATAAAGGCCATCCTTTTATCCTCCGGAATATTAAGCTAAATATTTAAATATTCGATGCTGTTTCATGGAATTCAGATTTGCGTGTTTTGAGATCTAATTTTTTAAAGCATCCAATAGTCATAGCTCCCTGGCTACTTTGCTGTTTGATGATGGAATGATCCAAACGTGGTTTGGTTTTTTTCTGCCTGGCTAAGGTGCCATTATATTTTTGCCATCAGTGTCCCTACCAGTCTAATCATTTCGATCAGGAGGCATTGCTGGTGGAAAGCTGAAATGTTTATATGTGCTTGGTTGTGAGTGCATTACATGATAAAGAATTGAGGTCTTTATCTCTTCATCCTGGATCTTTCTTGTAGTTACTGCAGCTGCTGTGCATGTTGCTGGTCACTGCATTAGAACACAAGGACCTGCATAGTGGTGGCTCCCAGGAGATCCCTAACAGGTGGCTAAAGAGGGTGCATAGATTTTTCCAGCTTTCTGCCATACCTTGTTATTTGTGTCTTCCTAAGTTGGGAAGGATGTGTTACTTCTTCTTTGTGCATGTCCTTTTCTATGTGACCTGTGTGGCTCATGAGTGCAGTGCAGGGACTACTGATTTTTCTTGGGTGCAAGCATTGGCCAGAAAAGCTGCTATCATCCCCAAACATCATAGTGTCATGCTTGTGTATTTGCAGGGAAGATGCTCAGCAAAAGTTGTGCTTCTGAGAGATCCCATATGAATCCTTGTGAATTCACCTAGTCCTAGCCCATTCCCTCTATCTGGCACTCTTCACATCTGCTGGATTATAATGTAGAATAGTGTAGTAATTTTAGAAATATGATTTAGGCCAGAAAGATTTGGGATCAAGTATTTAGGAGCCATAGTGGTGCAGTGGCTAGAATGCAGTATTGCAGGCTAATTCTGCTGACTGTCAAGGATTCGATACTCACCGGCCCAAGGCTGAGTCAGCCTTCCATCCTTTCAAGGTAGTAAATAGAGGACCTAGATTGTTGGGGGCAATATATGCTGACTCTGTAAACCACTGAGAGAGGCTGTAAAGCACTGTGAAGCAGTATATAAGTGCTATTGCTATTGCTATCAGGTTTACTCTTAACTGTAGTTTATTGGCTAATGTTGGGCCATTCACTCTTTCAGCCCAAACTTGGACAGTGGTTGCTTGTTAACATAAAAGGAGATCCTCTGTGGAGCTCCCATGAGGTCTTGCACAAAACGATGCAAGCAATAACAATTCTCATCACCTCAAGCCAGCACAGCCAATGGTTCCTGAGGATGATGGCCAATGTAGTCCAACACAATTGGAGGAGACATCAAATAGCTTTCTCTATGAGCATGTGTGCAGATTACCTTTCTGGGAATCGGTTGTTCTCCTTACTGACTTTCTGAATTGGCTGGAAGACAATAGATTCTGTGTGTGTGTGTGTGTGTAGGTTAAGAGTAGTTTGTTTTGGAAAATTGCAATCGAATGTGTTACTTCCATTTTTTTTTAAGAAAAGAAAACACAGCTGTTTGTGCTGTGTTTTTTTTTTTTTAATAAACTGGCATATATCCAAAGGGCTTGGATTTTAAAGAAAGAGGTAGAAGAGGAACATAGTGTTTTTCTGGTATTCCCCAAGATTCCACATAGGTTTGGAAAACCCATGAAATTAATCTAATTTCTGATGCAGATCTAAATTTAAAAACAAGACATGCTTGCAGTTCTTTTCCAAAGGCCCCGTAATGAATTCTTCTTCTTTCATTATTCCTCCTGTCTGTACTTCTAATGCCATCCAAGAAGAGCTTTTAACCTTTGGGCCTTTATGGGTAAGCCCTGCCTATGGTTGCAGCCGAAACCCTTAGCTGTTCCAGTGTGCTTTCGATAGGCTGACTGCTGGGTATATGCATATACCCGCTGTGTTTCTCAACACCTACGCACCTTACCCTTGGCATAGGTCTAGGCATGTCTGAAAAGGTGAAGTGTTGATTTGCTTTCCAAAGTGATGCATGAGCCCCTGGGTTATGTGCTACTCCTTAATTCTCCCTTGTTTCTGCTACTCCTTAATTTGTGCTACTCCTTAATTCTCCCTTGTTTCTGAAACCTCTTTCCATTTTTATAATCATTTAAATTATTTCACATACCTGCTGCACAGGGACATCTACCTGGAGTTTTGGCAAGGTAATTCATTCCAAAGCATTGTCAGGCCTCAATGTTCCTGTTTAGTGCAAATGTGTCAATGTCCACGATGCTTTGTTTTCCCCGCCCTATTCCTCCTTTGCAGATTAATGTCTTGCCTGCATCTTGTGCTGTTGCAAAAAGAGCTTTGCTGCCCCCCCAAGGGCCAAAATGAAACATGTAAATGAAACATGTCATGCTATGGGGCCCAAGAACTACAAGTGCTACAGTTACTTGAGCACCAATAAGGAGAATTGGAGAGGGCAAATGTAGCAGAGAACAACAACAACAAAAAAAAGCAGTTAAGAGAGACTCAAATGCTACAGGGCAAAGACTCACCCCTTTTTAAGCATTGATAGTCATCTTCCCTCCTTCCAGCAAGATGTATTCTATGAGTCATTCTGGTTTCCGTAGCTTCTTTCCATCGTGTCTATTTACTTTCTCTGTGGTGGATTATATTTCAAGAATTCCGCAGCCAACCTTAGCATTGCTGATTCATGTGTCTGGAGAGCGCCCAGATAAGGGAAAACACTTCAAGGATAATGGGGATTGTAGTTCAGCACACATGAGAGGCACCTGGTTGGGTTCAATAAGGATTCAGAGATAGCTACTGTACTCATATGAGTTGTAATTTCAGGGCTTAGGTCTAGACTAGGGGTCTTCAAACTTGGCCCTTTTATGACTCGTGGACTTCAACTCCCAGAATTCCTCAGCCAGTGTGCCTTCAACTTCTGGCTGGCTCAGGAATTCTGGGAGTTGAAGTTCACAGGTCATGAAGGGGCCACAATTGGCACGCATCCAACCTTCCCAGTGCAATGGATTCCCAACTTCCAGAAATCTCAAGCAGAAATACTGGAGATTTCACTTTGAAAGCGGGCAACTAAATGATGTATGCCATTGTGCCCACAGTAAAAAAATATGACAATAAAGGTTATCTTATCTTATCTTATTGAAGTCTAACCAATCTGAAGGTTATGGAATCAAATTGAGAATCTTATATAATTTTATTTTTGCTTTGCAAACTATCCCAAACATGGAGTTTAGCTTTTCTTATGATAGAAGTGTGGTTGCTGTTTCTTTTACTAAAATCTCTCTTTTTCCCCACAGCTCTTCCTCATGATGGTATCGATGTTTCTGTGTAGAACCGTTGGTCCCAACTACGACAAGCTTGCTCGTTATTCCTAGGCAAACAGACTTTTGGGGGAAATGGCATTGAAGAACATTCCATCTTATTTAGACATTCCACTCGGGTTTTAAAACCGTACATTGTAGAGCTGCAGTTACGTTCAGCAAGTTTACTATCTCACTTTCTTGTCCTAAGTGATCCAGTCTTGGAAACTGAGATGAAACTTTCAAGAATCAGAGCAACCAATAAGAAAATAGAGTAATATGAAGCAGATTTTTACCTTCAGTTAGTTAAAGATAATTTAGCTCTCTAAAAAGTATAGCCGTATCGGCTTTTGGCTTCACCTAAATCCTCAAAATAGGATAAAGAATTCTATGTTTTTATATTGCATTGCCCTGGAATGCACAGATTTTAACAGCCAAGCTCTGGTCTACTTTTGCATGAAGAGAACTATTTAACCATAAATTACTTATTGCTAGGATCTGTCAAATACAACCTGGGAAAAATTATTTGTTGCCCCCAAATCCTTTAATATGGCTGTTTTAGAGGTAAAGCTAAAAAATTTACTCTTTTTTTTTAAGTGAAACTTGCACTCTGTTATTTAGTTAGCAGTTAGGGCTGTGAATTAAGAGTGGTGTTGACCCACCTGATTGGACCAAGAGTTTTTGAATCCTTCCTGCTGCCATTGGGGTGAGATCTATTCAGCTAGACTTCAAACATTCTCAACCATACATAGGATATAACCAAACTTGAACGTTCTGTGTTCTATGCTATCCTTGATGTGTACTTTAGTATTTAGCTTTTTGTACCGCAATCTTGTCTTGATTTGATTGAATTAATCCATGTTGAAAACAGCTCAGTTAAGAGGGCTGCATTTCTCGCTTATGTTTGGACTAAACTGTTCCATCACAAGTCTTTTCCTCTCGTTGGAGAAAAGGCATGAGGAACCTGAAGTCCATCTGATATTGTTCCTTGGTGGCTCCCAAGTGTCCCAGCCTTTATAGACAGTGGTAAGGAATGTTGAATGACAAGTTCCACAGCACTGAATCTGCAAACCTTTGGTGGAGCTCATGACCACTAGCTAGTTCAGAGGCAGGATACACCTGATCTGGCGTGAAGAAAGAGGTCTGTTTGCACTGGGAATGTGTTGATATGGCCATTAACACTTCTGTGGATTTTTGAATGGTGCCTCTTTACTGCCCCCACCTCCCCAGCAGGTGCAAATGAAGGGGACACCTTATCTTTGAGCCCCAAAAATTGGACATGTTTTTGTGTTGCGCCTTGCACATTTACAACCCTGTAAAGGGGCAGATGAGAGAACCTTCGTTTTTCTTTTTTGCGGTATTTATATATTCAGCTTGGATGTTTTAAAACAGAAGTACAAAGGGGGAAATAGTTTGAGCAAGAGGATGCAGGTGGAATGAGGTACCTATATAATTTCACCTCCTTTCTCAACTTCCTGTGGTTTGTTCCTTCATAGAACTGGGTTTTTTTACATTCTATTTTGTAAATAAAAATGATCCATAAACGGTTGTGTTTGGTTCTTTGAACTTGGATGTAAAATAGCGTTTAGCTATTTGCGACAGTGGTGAATATCCATAGTTCAAGTGTAGGACGAGGGTGGAGGTTCGTTCTCCCAGCTTTGTGGGTTGGTTTCCGAATGTTTCGTTGCCAGACTAGGCAACATCTTCAGCGGAGTTTAGGGAAGCTATTTAGCTATCTCTCCAGAAGAATGGATGTACTGATACTGATAGGATCCCTGGTCCAATAGCCAAGAGCAAGCAAGCAAAATAAAAGGCATGGCTCCTGATGAATTCTTAGCCGTGCCCCTTAACTCCGGCTGACCAGTCTATGCTAATTGGCTGGTTTTGAATCATAAAGGCGCGTCCTGAGACATAACAGACGTCTGATGAGTTGCATGCAGCAGAGTGCTAGAAACTGGAATTTAGGATTAGTTCTAGAACAGTAGCTTTAGCTAAGGAGCGACAGTCCTGTTTTTTACAAGGATTTCTTGTTTTGCTGGGCTGGACTTCTTTCACAAGGAGTAAGTGATGGAGCTTCTTCTAACTCTTTGATATATACATCTGGTTACTCCTATTTACCTGGATCTTTTCTGAATTTGAGATCAAACAAGGAATAAGTGCTTCATCGTAGCTGGCAATAAATCTGATGCGGAATTGATTCCAGATAGTTGCAAGCTGTCTGGATTTAGGACCCAGCTAAATACCCATAATATGTATTGTCTTAGTTCTGGTACCATCTTCTCTTTGCAAAAAAGATCAAAGTCAGTCTATAGCTGGACTGGGCAACATGATACATAATAGGCTATATGAAGCTCCTGTTTACAGCCCCATGAACTTTTAAATGCATGTTTGAAATTTTGAAATGTGATTTCTTGGAGGAAAGTATAGCAGTACTGTGCAAATTCTAGAGTAATTGCAACACACAAAAAAGAATCTCTCTCACACAAACTACAAGACCTAGCAGTCCCAGACACCAAAAGGCTGCCCACTACTGGTTGAAGTATATCCATGCTCCACTTTTTTCAAAAGTGCACCGATTTCCATCCAAATTCTGGAGACACTGCTACTCTTGGTAGAAACAAGTTGTAAGGCAGAATAATATTAGTGTTTTGTTTGATTGAGAAGCCCCTCCCTCTACTTATGACCTCAATGGAGCCCAACATTTCTGTCGCTGAGTGAGACAGTTAAGAGAGTTTTGCCCCATTTTTACAACCTTTCTTGCCAGTTGTGAAGTTAGTAACATGATTGTTAAATGAATCTGGCTTCCCCGCTGACTTTGCTTGTCAGAAGGTTGCAAAAGGTGATTACATGAGCCTGGGAGACTGCAGCTGTCGTAAAAATGAGCCAATTGCCAAGCACCCAAATTCTGATCACATAACCATGGCAATGCTACAACGGTCCTGTGAAAAATGGTCCTAATTCACTTTTTTCAGTGCTGTTGTAACTTCAAATGGTCATTAAATGAATTGCAAGTTGAAAACTACCTGTATATCGTCCCCCTACTACAAGTGCCAAAAAGATGATAATCAAGAACATACATTTAGCCAGATAAAGCTTCTTCAGATCAAACATATAACAAAGCTCGGTTTGCTTTTATATTTTTGTTGCATTTAAGATTGGGATTATGTGTGGAATAGAAGGTGGTAATTTTAATTCCAGAGCTGAAAACGTAATTCCATTCGTTCTCCAAAATATGGACGGCTATTTTTTAAAATGCTTCTTTAGCTATAAAACTCCTTGGCAGCAGAAAGCAAGAGAAAGGAGGCTTAGAAGACCACATTTCTGTTTCCTGCTATTAATGTTCTTGCCAATCTTTAATTACTCATATGAGTAATATTAAAATGCCTCCCACCTGCACTTCACAGATACATGGCTTATGCTCGTGTAGATGAAGCCTGAGTTTTGCAAGGCAATACCTTCCTACAATGAGAATTGTTCTCTGCTTTTGAAATGACACCAACATGAGCCTTAAACTCCTGGGCCGCAAAGGAGAAATTAGACAACTGAGACAAGAATTTTGCTAAGCAAGGGGTTTGTTAAGGGAGCCACATCCAATTTTACCTTCTTTTTTTTGCCATTGCTGTTAAGCAAATCGTGGTTTTTAAGGGAATCTGGCTTCCCCCATTGACTTGGCTTGTCAGAAACCAGCTGGGAAAGTCACACATGGCAATCACATGGCTCCCTTGCTATTATTATTTTATTAGTTTATAATATGTAATAGAAAAATACAGAACTCACATGATCATGTGATCAAAATTTGGGTGCTTGGCAACTGGCATGTATTTATGATGGTTTTAGCATTCGGGAATCATGTGAACAAAGCAATCACATGACTCCTGAATGCTAAAACCATCATAAATATATGCCAGTTGCCAAGCACCCAAATTTTGATCATGTGGGTGCTGTGATGTCCTAAGTGCAAGGAATGGTTGTTAGTCACTGGTCTGAGTGCTACTGTAACTTCAAATGGTCACTAAACGAGTAGTTGTAAGTCAAAGATTACCTGTACTCCACAAAGGAGATCAATCCAACAGCGGACAAGAATTCAAATTTGACTTAAAAGTTGTATTAAACCTTAATATCATTACTGCCAATGTAAATAACAGTCTTCAACTTGATCACATTAAACCCTTCAGTTACGTGGACTCTTAAAGGGATCTCGGGAGTGACATGTGAATTGGGAGCATCAGGTTATGCACTCCTGGTATAAACCTTTCCCTAGAGCCTGACATAATAGTGTAGGAATGGGTTTACTCTTCAGCAATTTGTGAGAATTAAGTTATAATGTACATCGAAGCCTGACTGTCTTTCAAAACAGGAGTGCTAAGAAATACTATTTCTTCTTACAGTGGAGTGTTAGAGCCCAGAGAAGCAATCACATGGGACATTGTCAGAGGAGAACTGGAAGGATACAAATGAGTTGAGGTTGACTATTGCCCTCAACAGGCTGGAGATGACCTGACCCAAAGAGTATTCTTCCAGAAGTACACCTGTTCAAAGGACCATGGTTACTATTATGCCATGCCAGCTGCAAGATGGTCTACTGAGCAATGGGTTCACATGCCTTTTAAGGGTTTAGGTCTAATGCTCGGATTTTGTGGTCATCAAACAGAGGAAAGTATCCGTTAGTAAATTCAAAAGTTGGTATAAATGATGTCAGCAGTTTTTCTAGCGATTCAGCCATCAGTTCTGCCAGCCACTAGGATGTGATAAGAGGAAGATGGCCGGGTTGGTTGGGGTTTATTTGTTGAGCGTGGTGACAAACTATTTCTCAGTCCCGGCCTAGCCGATAGATGTGATGCTGTGCTCCCCGTTCGCTTGCAGACACTTCAAAAACAAAGGCCACACACAGTAGCAATTCCTGAGTTTCTTGATCCCGCAAAACCTGTTTGGAAATGAGAATAACAGTTTTTATTGGCAGAGATCCCTAGTTGGCTCATGAAACAAATCAATCCGTAACACAGAGCAGATACATTTAACCTCCTGACCCCCTTTCCAGGGAAATTAACACAATAGAAGAAGTACAGGTAGTCCTCGACTTACAACCATTTGTTTAGTGACCGTTCGAAGTTACAATGGCACAAAAAAAAGGTAACTTATCCGTTTTCACACTTATGCCCATTGTAGCATCCCCATGGTCATGTGATCAAAATTTGGGTGCTTGGCAACTGGCATGTACTTATGACAGTTGCACTGTTCTATGGTCATGTGGCCACCGTCTGTAACCTTCCCAGATAGCTTCCGACAAGCAAAGCCTATGGGGGAAACCAGATTCGCTTAATGACTGCATGATTCAACCAGGTTAAAAAAGGTTGTAAAACAAAGCAAAACTCACTTAACAACTGCTTTGCTTAGCCACAAAAATGTTAGGCTTAGTGGTGGTTGTAAAATGAGGACTACTTGTAATGTCAAGGCCTCTGGTGTCTCCTCAATCAGCTCTTTTATGGTAGGGAGTAGCCACTGAAACCCTACAATTGTGGGGCTACTCTTGGCATTTCCTTCCCCTTCTGTAACGTTTCTTTCCTAATTAGTTGATGCATTGTAGCAGATAGTTCTCGACTTACGACCACAATTGAGCCCAAAATTTATGTTGAGACATTTGTTAAGTGAGCTTTGCTCCATTTTACGACGTTTCTAGCAATAGAAAATGAATCACTGCAGTTGTAAGTTAGTAACATGGTTGTTAAGTGAATCCTGCTTCCCCATTGATTTTGTTTGTCAGAAGGTTCACATGAACCCAGGTTACTGCAACCATCATAAATATAAGCCAGTTGCCAAGCATCCAAATTTTGATCACATGACCATGGGGATGCTGCAATGGTTGTAAGTGCGAAAAATGGTCAGAAGTCACTTTTTTCAATGCTGCTATAATTTTGAACGGTTACTAAATGAACTGTTGTAAGTTGAGGACTACCTGTATTTTATTAACTATTAACCAATTTATTAACTATTAACCAATTAAATCTAAGTGTATTATACATAAATATGACCATTCTAGAGGACATACTTTGGGATGAATTGTTCCTGGGACCACTTACTGTCTTCTAGATGCTTCCAGGTGGAACCTGGCGCAGTCACCAACATTAAAATAAAACATATTGAAAATGCACATTTTAGCATCTCAATGTTACCAAACCTCACTGAATTTGGGGAGGGATCTTACATATTGATGATCTTGTGATTTCAATTTATAAAATATAAATTAGTAATCCTCCAGGCATCCCTGGGAGGATCATGTTGCTGAATCTTTATGTGACAGTTCTCACCAACACTTTCAATGATGATGGAGAAAGTCATATCAAAAAAGGCTGATAAAATTGATATTTTCAACGATGCATGTGTGAATCACAGCAGGCAGCACAACCTTAAAAAAGGCACTACCTTCTCAAACCAGGTGTCTATGGAGATTCTCAGTTATCCAGGTCTTACCGGTAGTTATCCCAAAGGTGCTTTTTCAGGAGGCAACTGGACTCTCTTGTTTTTCTTTGAAGACGTTTCGCTTCTCATCCAAGAAGCTTCTTCATTGTTTTTCTTTTTTTCTTTTGAAGACAATCCAGTCAGAGCTGAAGAAGCTTTTTGGATGAGAAGCGAAACGTCTTCAAAGAAAAACAAGAAAGTCCAGTTGCCTCCTGAAAAAGCACCTTTGGGATTTTCAACCCAGGATGCTTCTCGGGCAGTAAATGGAACTGATAATTTGCGATTCTTATATAAGCATATAAAATATCTTTTTATCTGCTCAATTAAGTCAGGGACATATTTAAAACAACGAAACATTTAATGACTATTCTCACTATTTAATTGATTAAATGTCCCAGACGTAGCCTTAATTGCACCTTACTCATTTTGAGATGCTTGGGAAAGAAGGGATCAGATAATCAGATAGTACTCCATAAAAACCAACAGGAGAAGATGTTCTGGAACAGGTTTAACTTGCTTGGCACTCCCAGAGAAGGAACCAGCATAACTACCTTTTGTTTCATGCTTAAACAAGGCTCTCAAAGAGGCCGTAGCAATTTTGTAAAAAGTTTTACACTAAGTTCTCAACCTTGGCAACTTTAAGATGTGGACTTCAACTCTCAGAATTCCCCAGCCATCATATGTCATAAAGTTAGCAAGGTAGAGAAACATTGAACTAAGCCCATCGAGAACTAGAAAATGAAGTAAAACTAAGGTTTGGGCAAAATTTTCTGTCTCCACATTGCTTCCCTATGGAAGTATAGTTTTGACTCAAAATTCTTTCTCACCCTCCCCATAATTTCTTTCCCTATTAAATACCTGCAGGATAGTGAAATTTTCAAGCACGCTATCCATCATTAGTTTTTCTGGCAATGTTTGTAGTTTGCGAATAAAATTAATGAGGTACTCGCAGAGTGGCGAACGCTGCATACGGAAAACAAAGCGGCCATCTTCCCAGTGAGGGGGCTCGGCTGTCTGGGGAATCAAGTGGATGAAATGGAACAGATAATCGGAAAGTAAGACAGATCAGACAGAAGCCCGAAACTTACAACCATACATGTGTACTTTCAGCAATCAATTTATTTTTAAAAAAGATTTTTTTATCCCATCATTATTACTTTTAGGTATAAGTAATTCAAGCCAGCGAACATATATAATACTCTTTCCTCCTCCTATTTTCTCCACAAAAACAACCCTGTGAAGGGGGCTGGGCTGAGAGGGACTGACTGTTGCAAAGTCTCCTAGGCAGCTTTCATGTCTAAGGTGGGACTAGAACTCCCAGACTCCTGGAGATTGGCCCCATATTACCCAGCAGGCTTTTGTGCCTAAGGTGGGATTAGAACTCATAGTCTCCTGCTGATTGGCCCAAAATTATCTAGCTGGCTTTTATACCTAATGTCAGACAAGAACTCACAATATCCTGGTTTCTAGGCCAACATCTTAACCACTACTTCCAAAACTGGTGTATTTTACAAAAGTAACATGAGATTTATTATTTTAAATGAAAAACAAATACAGGCAAATTTCATTGACAACAGGGACACTTTAAAAAAAAATCCAATAACACCCCCCCTCCCCAGTTCTTTTGCCTGTCTCTCAGCCAGATTTTTCCATCACTGTCTTAAATCACTTCAGCTTTACTTCCCCAAGCCTAATTTTATGAAGTCCAAACCTTTTGCTTCTGCAGGCAAACGACAATAAACATCTGATTTCGTGTTACTTGGCAAGATGTGTAGACTTCAACTCCCAGAATTGGCAAGGCTGACTAGAGCATTTTGGGAATTGAAGTCCACACATCTGAACGTTGCCAAATTTGAGAAACACTACACTAATATCTGTAGATTAAAAAAAATCTAGCACACTAAGGGGATTCTTGCTGTGGTGGTTTTCTGCCGAAAAATAATCTGTAACATAAGGCCAATCGCAAACTTGTTCTGCATTATATCCCTGGAGTTCAATAAACCTGCATACATATAAGGCAGGGGTAGGCAACCTTGGCTCTTTTATGACTCGTGGACTTCAACTCCCAGAATTCCTCCTGGCTCAGGAATTCTGGGAGTTGAAGTCCATGAGTCATAAAAGAGCCAAGGTCGCCTACCCCTGATATAGGGCCTAAAACTCTTAATAGTTAGTGGGGTTTGAGCTTAGTTTTTTTTTAAAGTAATGCTTTTGCTCTGAAAGTCTTTCCTGCCCAAACCCCAAACGAATTTATTCCTGGGGTTTTGGTTGCTTACAGATGCAAAAAGAGATTATTATGTAGAAGTCATATTCAATACCAGGGCTGGTTTAACTATGACACCCTAAAATTAGCAACCACTATGGATTATAGTCTTGCTGGCTGGGGGATTATGGGAATTCAGCTCCAGTACAAGCTATGCTGACTCAGGAATTCTGGGTGTTGAAGTCCATGAGTCATAAAAGAGCCGAGGTTGCCTAGCCCTGGCCTAGACCAAGACATTCACAGCGTGAAAAGTAGCCATAGTTTTGGTCTCTGTACTGAGAATCCTGAAGTTTCCCTTGTCTCGAGAAGTACCGAGGAAGCCAAAAGGAATAACAAGGAGATCCTCAGAGGATTTCCCAGCGACCTTTCTCCTATTGATTATTTCCCTCACTCTTCCTTTATCTTCTAAGATCAGGCAAGATGGAACTTTGTGTGGTCCCTCCAGACTGCAATTCATTTTGCCAACACTGGAAGTCAGATTCCAAAAACCGGTAAAGTGCTACTTTAGATTCTGCCTCTAGCCAATGAACACAGAGAGAAAATCCCTTCTCTCCATGTCTATTTATTTTATTTTTATTTTATTTATTTGTCAAATGAAAATTACAAATTCGAATGAGCAAAATGAAAAAAAAAAATGAAATTAGTGACAGGGATGATAGGCACGCTAGTGCATGTACGCACGCCCCCTTAGGAACCTCTTAAATATGGGATGAGGTCCACAGAAGTTGATTAGAATTAAAAATGTGAAAGTTAGTAGCTGAAACAACTGAATCAGATAAGAGATTCCAGACTTTGACAATACTGCCTATCTCCTTCAATTTTTCTGCTGGAGAATGTCAGTGTTGCCAAGGCTGTGCTAACAGGCTAAATACAATAGTCAGACTTGGAACAAGGCCACTTTTTAGCATGGTTGCATGCAACATTTTTTAAATTCTATGGCTGGGTTTCTTAGCCATAAATTTACAACATTCTGCTCCCCACATCCCACCCTGGCTTGACCCAGCATGGCCACCCTCATCTCTGCCCTCAGTCTCACAGCTCCTCCCTCACTACACCCACCTCCAGTTTTTCCACCACCTGTTTGCCAAACGAGCAGACTTTGGAGGTGCAACTGAGAGTCAGAGCCCGTGGGCCCTCGTATCGGCTGCTCACCCCATAGAAGGCCCCTCCTGTGCCTCCAAGTTCTTCTTCAAGGAGGGAAAAGCTTAGGTCAGCCTAGAGCAAGAGATTGGAAAACAGAATCAGAAGTGTTTTTAATGACTGATGCAAGGGTGGGACAAAGATTAGTGAGTGTTATTCTCTAGAGCAGCAGTCCACAACCTTTGCGGCTTGGCGGCCCAGCTGGGGGGGGGGAAGAGAGGGGAACTGGGCCATGCGAGCAATGGGCCAGTGTGCGCACATGCATGCAGCTCAACTTGCACGAGTGGTGGACTGGCATGCACGCGCACAGATCGAACTTCAGAAAAGTGGCAAACCCGCTATTTGCAAAACTCGAGCTACATGCGTGTGCGCTCCAGCCAGCCACTTGCGCAACCCAATTCCGAATAGGTCATGGCCCGGGAATGGGCCGCAGCCTAGAGGTTGGGAACCTCTGCTCTAGAGCAGTGAAATAACATCCCCAGTTATTAAAACAACGCATCTATTTATTTCAGAAGCAGAGAAAAAGAAATTGCTCACCTTAATGGCCCTGCTTATAATTTTCCTAGAATATACAGCTAATCCTCAATTTACAACCACAATTGGGACCAGAATTTCTGTTGCTAAGCAAAGAGGTTGTTCAGTGAGTCATGCCCAATTTTACAACCGTTTTTGCAAGTTTTGTTAAGTGAATCATTGCAGTTACATAACTCACAATCCAGCTTCCTCCATTGATTTTGCTTGTCGAAAGCTGGCTAGGAAGGTCACAAATGGCAATCACATGATCCCGGGATACTGCAACGGTCATAAATGCAGTTACCAAGCATCTGAATTTTGATCACATAACCATGGAGATGCTGCAACTGTCGTAAGGGTCAGTTGAAAATGGGTCATAAATCACTTTTTTCAGTGCTGTTGTAACTATGAATAGTCAATATTGTCTGAGACACTACACATCCTCTTCACAACCTGTTTTCCTTGTTACCTTCTGGGAGGAGGCTTTGTGGTATCCGAAGCAGAACATCCAGGTTCGGTCACAGTTTTGTTCCATACAGTATTAACCTTGTGAACGTTAAAGTTTCCTCCTTCCGTTATATATTCAAGATGGACAGTGATTAATATTTATATGTTACTTATATGTAAGGGTGTAGGTCTATACGTATGTTGTTTATAGTATGTTTAAATGGGTGTTATTTATGTGTACACTTGAGAGCAAGCAACTAAACTTTATTTTTAATGTGTGCCATTGTGCCCACAGTAAAAAAAAAATGATAATAAAGGTTATCTATCTGTCTGTCTGTCTGTCTGTCTATCTATCATCTATCCATAAACAGATGGTTGTAAGTTGAAACTATCTATATGGAATTTCGGACTAAGGACAGCGTATACCCCAGAATCCAAATAAAGCGTAAATAAAAGAATAAATAAGAATTATTTTTGATTATCTAACACTACTACATTCAGCTGTTGTTGATTTTAAAAATAATGACGTTATTTTGAACATGAAGACGTGACTTGGAGCACTTTATGGTGCAAATGGAAATATGTGGCTGGGCAGGCAATATAAAGTTTTAATGCATCCAACAGTTCTAATATTTGTTCTTGATATAAAGCTATCTAAGGTGACTTTTAATTACACAGGATCAGAATCCAAATATCTCCGCAACAGTTATATTGATAAAGCCTCCCTGTTTCTAATTTACTAGCTGTGAGAGAGTGAGACTTGATTGCCACTCTTCATAATTGAAAAGGTATTTGTACTGAGGCCAAACACCAACAAGGAGCTGTTTAATTCATTAGCTTAGTTTTAAACTCAGTCTTGAGAATGACTTGACTGCTGCTGCTAACCAACAAGTATATGTGTGTGTTGCAGCAAGCCATTTTTAGAGATGTGGGATGACTGTTTTCAGATGTAGGTGGTCCTTGACTTACTACAGTTCATTAAGTGACCATTGAAAGTTACTACGTCATGTGACCAAGATTCAGATGCTTGACAACTGACTCATATTTATGACAGCTGCAATGTCCTGAGGTCTTGTGATCCCCTTTTGTGACTTCCTGACAAGCAAAGTCAGTGGGGAAGCCGGATTCGCTTAACAACTGTGTTACTAATTTAACAACTGTGGTGATTCACTTAACAATTGTGGCAAGAAAGGTCGTAAAATGGGGCAAAATTCACTTAACAGCTGTCACGCTTAGCAGCAGAAATTTGGGCTTGAATGTGGTCTGCCTACCGTATATAACCCAATTACCAGCTCTGAACGTCTGAAACATGGATAAGCAACTTGCAAATGTTTGAACTACAACTCCTACAAGTCCTTGCCATTCGCCATACTAATTAGAGCAGATGGGATTCAGACTGCTAAGCATCTGGAATACATCAGGTTAGTTTTGTGGACTCCGCTCCAAATCTATCCACTGACCCCTGCAATCTGGTTACTGATTCCAATAAAACACACTGTTTCATACGAGCATTGATCATAAATCTGTTTCCTAGCACAGCCTGCTTGCATTCCTGATGATTTGGGGGCGGGGGTCTTCAAACTTGGCCCTTTTATGACTTGTGGACTTCAGCTCCCAGAATTCCTCAGCCAGGCACGCTGGCTGAGGAATTCTGGGAACTGAAGTCCACAAGTCATAAAAGGGCCAAGTTTGAAGACCCCTGATTTGGGGATTCAATTAGTAAAAGAGTTCTTACCCAGAATTTAACCAAGAAGAAAGCCTGAGGAGGCCCTTGATCATACAAATCTCGCAGTCCACCTCCCTTCTCTGGAAACTTGTCATAGATCTGGCGTACATCCACCATCTCCAGGGGTGGCTCAGAGGTGGGTGTTGGGTCAATGTGAACAAAACGATGCTGCTGCTTACACTATGGAGAAGAGAAAGCCAAGTCAGAGCTGTCAGATGAACATAACCTGCATTACCTCACAAACCGTTTTCTGGAGCTCTCAGGAACTTGCTGAGAGGCAGGCAAACCCTACCAGAAAGTGTGTCCCCTCTGAATACAAAGATGCAACGGAGAACAAGGATGCTGTTTATTGGTGACAGTAGAACATTAGGCTATTGCAAGATTGGGACTATCCTGATGTATGGCAGACTTTATACACGGTCACTCAGCAATTTCAAGATTTACATACAATGGCATCTACCTGACATACTGTCATTAATAGACATAGCCTTTCCAACTTGGAACTCCTCAGATATCCTGGATTGAACTTCCAATGTAATTAAGTGGTCATGAGATAGTTGAAATGTATTTTTTTCAGATATTTTTTTTCAGATAAGTTTTCATGTATGTATGTATGTATGTATGTATGTATGAATTCAGCTGTTTTTATTTGAAATCCATGTTTTCAGATCTTAGTGCAGAGTTTCTCAGCAGCTTGAGGATATGTGGACTTCAGCTCCTAGAACTCCCTACCGCTGCCCTAGCCAATGTGGAATTCTAGGAGTTGAAGTCCAGATGTCTCCAAGTTGTTAGTGTTAGAGAAACACTGCCTTAATATGTTGGGTGAAACCAACTATTTATGATGTATTCGATAAATCATGATTAAGCAAATGATGCTTAGCATAACATATAAATCAGCGGTTCTCAACCTATGGGTCGCAACCCCATTTGGGGTCGATCGACCATTTCACGGGGGTCGCCAAGCAAGGCTGTCCGCCATTTTTTCCCCCTTTTCCGGCGGGTGCCTTACCTCCCTTGGGCTGGGCCAGCTGGTGGTCGGCCTGCTCCATCTCTGCCGCTTGCCAGCTACGCCTCGGCCAGCGCAGGGGGCGGAACCACGCATGCGCGGCGCTCCCGGGCAGGGAAAGTCCTCGACTTACGACCGGTTTAGTCCCCGACGTACGACCGGTTTAGTCCTCGACTTATGACCGGTTGGGGGTCGCGGCATTAAAAAGGTTGAGAACCACTGATATAAATACATTTACCTACTATTACTTAGAGCTAAGCTAACATTTTTCATTCCAAACTTTAATTCCAAACATTCAGACAATTAGGTTTTACCCCATACAATTTTTCAAGTTTGACTTCCAGATGGTAATGGGCCTACTAGCATCTTAAAGCTTAAATTCTATCTTTACTTCATCTGGTTGTTTTACCTTTATTCCCAATCCATTCCAACTGATTGTGATAATCTATCTTTCCTCCAAGAACTCTACTCTGTTTATCCTGTCTTTCCTGGATGAAGTAAAGAACTTTTTTTTCCTTATTATTCTCTTAATAACTCTGGAGCATTTGGTAGAAAGACTGTTACTATCCCAAATAGGTCACCGAGTTTCACCACCAAGCAGGACCTAGCATTGTTTCTCTAGCTTTAATCTTATTGTAGTCAGTTTTACCATTCCTCAAACTTTTCAAGGCAAGTTTATTCCAACAGATGGGAACAGCAAGCGAGCATTGAAGGGCACACGTGCACCGTTTTTACCGTATCTCGTTCACTCTGCCGCTCCACAAAAGCAGTAAACTCCACTAGTCGCAGTGTTTCTGTACCAATATGGCTTCCTGGCCAAGAGGTAGTTGTGGTGGGGAGACAAGAGCCCTTCCCTGGGGTGGTGGGATAACCTGACAAGCCAAGAGAAAAAGACCTGTGGCTAATGGAACGTATCCCCATTTTAGTAGTACAAAGTAGCCCTTTCTTAATGATAATAATCGGGACCAGCAACAATACAGTTACAGAGAGTGACATTACATGACTGCATTGACTTAGGATGGCAATTGTGGCAATCCCAGTTGCTGTTGTTAGGTGAATCCCACATGGTCACAGCATCCCGTATTCACGGAATTGCTATTTGTGACCTCCTGCTGGCTTCCTCATTGACTTTGCTTGTTGGAAGACAGCAGAGAAGGTCGCAAACGGTGATCACGTGGTCACAGGAAACCCCAACATCGTAACTGTAAGTTGGTTGCCAAGCATCCGAATCACGATCATGTGACTGGGTAGATGTTACAATGATCACAATGGCAAGGACCTGTTGCAAGTCCTCCTTGTTCAGTGCCATCGTAACATGGAACACTCGCCGAACAGACAGTCATTCTATGAGGACAACCTGTAAGGTAACAAATGGGTGATGGAAACAGGAATCATGCTTACCTGGGGCAGCAGGTGATGCTGCAATTGGTGTGATGGGATATGGTGGCTGGAGGATGGGCTTGATACTGAAGAAAGAGAGGACACATAAAGAATTGAAATCTAGCACTTCCATAGAAAACGCTCCAAAGATAGAGATGAACATGCTGGTTGCAAAAAGATTAATCCAAAACTTACTCTGGAGTAGATTGGCCTTGATTTACATCCCCTGCCCAGAAATGGAAAAAGTCTGTGGATTGCTGAAACCAGAAAGAACATTTAGAAAGAGAGAGTCGTGGTGGCGCAGTGGCTAGAATGCAGTATTGCAGGCTAATTCTGCCAACTGTCAGCAGTTTGATTCTCACTGGCTCAAGATTGACTCAGCCTTCCATCCTTCTGAGGTTGGTAAAATGAGGACCCAGATTGTTGGGGGTAATATGCTGACTCTGTAAATCGCTTAGAGAGGAATGAAGAGCAGTGTGAAGCAGTATGAAAGTCTAAGTGCTATGGCTATTGCTATTTAAAATATTCATACCATTCCTATACTATATAATGCAAACCAAATTTTTGCAAATATGAAAATATTCTTTAATTGACCAAAACAGCGCCCATGATTCAATGTAGTCTGTTGGAATCTGTTGTTTTTAAAGGAAATGCATGTAAGTTTTATAGATTGCAAACACTGTTAGAAAAAGCATTCTCTTACATAAATAAAACAGAACACTTACTATGATAACAGGGATAAATCATCAGAAAATATGTGCTATTTGCTTAAAAATATTCTGATGAACTTGATGCCAATTTATCAGCTACAGGTAGTCTTCAATTCATGACTGCAATTGAGCCTGGAATTAAGGTCATAAGTCATGCCAGCCTTTAAGTGGGTCATCATGTGACCAATCCAATTTAACAACATTTTTTCTGGTGATCATTAAAGTCATGGTTGTTAAGCAAAACCCATTGTCTTCACTGGGCGTTTTATGCTGGAAACTGGAAGTGAATGCCAGATTCTGGCAAAAAAATTGTCATAAATCATGGTCATGTGACCATGGGATGCTGCAAACAGCTGTAAATATGGGCTGGTTGCCAAGTGCCCAAAATAGAATCATGTGACTGCAGTGGGGGACTGAGCATCAGAACTTCGAATCTAGGTCAGAAGTATCTGTTTTGGGGTCTGTTGTAAGTCGAGGACTACATGTAGAGGCATATAACTAAAGTCAAGTTATATAGAGCAGGGGTGTCAAACTCAATTTCATTGAGGGCCGCATCAGCATTGCGGTTGCCCTTGGGGGGGCAGGGGACGAGGGTGGGGGCGGTCTACTGGGTGGGCGTGGATGGAGTGGGTGTGGCCTACTGGGTGGGCATGGTCAGCTCTACATCGTTCGCATCAAGGGTGCCTGTGGGGGCCTGGGCAGGAGTGGGACAGATCTGAGGGTCTCTGGCAGAAGGGGTGGGACCGGGGCAAGTGCCAAGGCACGGTCCATTTCTTCATTCCTCACAAAGGGTGACACCTCCCCGGCATGCACCCAGGGGGCGGGGCCGACACAGCAGGGGCTGGTTCCTCGCTGTTTCTAGATGGCCTTGTGGAGCTTAGACTGAATGCGTTTCAGCATAGATGGCCACCACAAAATTGTACATTGGCTCTCGGCCGGCCTGGGCCAGGGCCAAGGCAGCGGGGACCGTTCCTTCACTGTTTCCAGGATGGTTTCGCGGGCCACATTAAACCATTTCACGGGCCGCATCTGGCCCCTGGGCCTTGTGTTTGACTTGTCTGCTATAGAGAGTCATATAACTAATTAACAGAGAGTTCTTTCACCAGACAAATGTCCTATTTAAGCAGACCATTTGACAACCTGGTCTTCCCTCAGACAATGCTTTCAGAAAGAACATGTAGAAAATTCCTGGAAGCTCCCCAAACCACAATTTCCCAGATTCTTCAGGGGAAGCCAAGGGTTAAACTGCCACAAATTCCAATCTGAAATCTGTAACATGAAAGTTCCCCTGAAAAGAGCTCCAGAGAAATCCCAGCTCACAGCCTTTCCCCCCCACATATGCTTACGGTAGCGGTGCTGGGTGGATAGTGAGCTTCCGACAGGCCTAGTTTCTCCTGGAGGATAGCGGCCGAAACAAGCTGAGCAGAAGACATGGCTGCCATACTCTGAAGTGCTTTGTCCTTTGCCACTTGATCCTGGGCGGCAGAGTGAGGCAGGAAAGAAAGACACGTTCTGTATTTTAGGAGATCATTTCAATTGCTATATGAACTCTTTCTTTATGGATTATTCTGCCAAGGAAACTCTGCAACCATTGAAATTGCAGCGGGCTTCCTATGAGGAGTGTCATTCTGGGATATCCAGAAGTTTTTCTTCCTTCCTTCCTTCCTTCCTTCCTTCCTTCCTTCCTTCCTTCCTTCCTTCCTTCCTTCCTTCCTTCCTTCCTTCCTTCCTTCCTTCCTTCCTTCCTTCCTCCCTTCCCTTCCCTTCCCTTCCCTGTTCCTAGCACTCCTCTATTCATTACCAGCCTCATCCACCTCTTATATTTGACTGAATAAAAGCTAAATACATGCTTGTCTCTGATCAGACCTAGAAGACTACCATGTGGTGCTTGAAACCTGGCACTGTATTTTAAATTTGTTATGGGTTACAGTGCTCTGTCGATTACAGGGTAAAGGCATTCAAAATGACAGCCATTTTGAATTCACATCTGTTGGTCTGCAACTTTGTGTAAAATGTGGAGCATGAAGATTAAAAGAAGAGATTGGGATAACCATCTGTCTGAAATGGTATAGGATTTCCTGCCTGAGCAAGGGGTTGGACTAGAAGACCTCTAAGGTCCCTCCCAACTCTGTTATTCTGTTATAAAAAATGGCTCCACTCATGTACTCTCTTTCTCTAAGCTTTCTCTTTCATTGTGCTGTGCTAACATGTCTATCAGTATCTGACAGCTCTTCCATGATGGAATTTAGAGTGCTGCACATTGGGTTCACAATTGGATCCCCATCTATGTGCTGACCAAACCGAGACCCGCTTAGCTTCAGGTATTCTCAGATCATGTCATGTTGGGTAGGTTTAATATCACTAGCCTCAACCCCTTCATTAAAGCAAACAGTCAAGAACTGTATCTAGAATCTTTACAGCCTAGACACTTAAAAAAGAAAGAAAGTCTACATCACCTCAGAAAAATTTAAACAAAATCAAAAGAGATCCCATCATCTCAAGAAAACTAGGACTCCAGATTTGCAATTAAATTTTTCTCTCAATTATTTGAGTTTCAAATTTTTTATTAATTTTACAATATTACATTTACATATTTTAAAAATAGCGTGGCGGCTGAGCACAGTAATTCCGTTACATTTGAATATCATCAGTACAAATCTCAAATTAATACAACAAACTAATTCCCTCTCTTTCCCCCATAATATCTACTGTCATGTTCAAACCAATACAATTCTTATTCTATTAATCAAACAAAAAATACCTTTCTAATATTCATCAATAATCTTCAGTCTATACATATCTGAATTAATTTGACATTCCACCTTTTAGACAATAACCTAGTAACTTTTTCTTAACTTTAATTTGCCATTGATGTTTAAGTTTAACATTTAATCTTTATCATTTCCAGGTTTTAAATGATCCCAATTTCTAAGTCTCCTATCTCACATTTGAAGCTAATAATTTTTTTTCTTTTCTTCCTTTCACTTCCTTCCTTTCTTCCTTTCCAGAAAGAGAAAAAAAAAATTAAAAATAAACCACCAACATTTATACCACAAACCCATATACAAATTTAATTATTAGTACTTATACTCTTAAGTTTTACTTAACCTTTGTCTCAACTCATAACAATATCTTAAATTCAAATCTTAATTATTTGTAGACATTCAAATTACATTTAATATTTAATTTTTCCAAATGTTTAAACACAATTCCTTTATCCCGATTGCTCATACATTCTAATATTTAAAATACACACCTTATATATAACTTCTACCATCTATCTTACCCATCTAATGACAATATAATATTCTTATTTCAACATATTTCTAGATTTTATATGACCAAAATTTTCTTTATCTCAAATCGTTACAATGTCTTGTGTTCAGAATACATATTCTATCTAACTTCCGGTTCGTCACACAGCCGCCATGGACGGTTGGGAGACTTGCTCTCTCTCCCCTGTTCAGTTTCGCATCGCTGGGGGGCCCTGAAAAGGGCCGAAAGTCGCCCCGAAGAGGCGACCAGCAAGGAGGGGCTTTCGCTGGATCCCGAGAGAGCAGCAACTCTTCCGTCAGACCAGGCGATTCCTCCAAACCGGTGAACGAAAGGACCGGCCATAGAAATATGGCTCATCCCTAGGCTGCAAACAGCCAAAGTCACACTACCATCTGGCAACTTCAAAGCAGCGTGGACAGGACCGGGTGAGGTTTGCCTCTCTTACATCCTAACTACTTAATTACCTGCATAAGCTGCTAAAGTACTTTCCCCCCTGTGGTGAGGGAAGGGGGATTCTAGCCCTCCCTCCAGAAACAGCAGCTATCAACCACTTGGGAGTTTTAAAACGTTGGAAAAATACTGAGATCTTAATTGGAATCCTATTTCCTAAAATTGGTGGATTATAAGATTTGCAACTTTCTGCTCTCTCTATATATATTTCTTCCTTNTTTCTCTTGAGTTTAATATATTACAATGGAAGGAGAACAGGAAAGGATTTCTTCTACAGAGGAAGTACAGGAACAAATTCTTTGTATGTTAAAAGCGATGATCCAAACTCTACGTATGCAAGCTCTGGATATACAAACTCAAACTATGACTTCAATCAAAGAATTATCTATACAGAATTCTATAGAGAAAGTGAAACAACCAAAAGTTATGACAGAAGACTTAGATACTCAACAAATACAGACAATAGAAACCACAAAAAGAAATTGATAATAGAAAACAAGGAAAGAGCCTTTCTTATAAACCAGAAGGAATTTGAAGGTAAACAAGAAAAACAGATGAAAGAGAAGATAAATACTTTGGGACAACTGCATTGAACTGGAAAAATAAAGAGACTACTGGCTAAATCAACTAGTCCTCTTAAGAAAACATCAACTGGACGTTCTTATCAACATCAAACAATAGCCACAACAATACAAGGAGATTTTTTTGATGATTTAAAGGCAAAAATACGAAAAATGACCTGGCAGAGGAAAAAAGCTAGAATAAGATTGAAAAAGATTGGGGTTCTGATCTATATACTGTATGAGATCTAAAATAGAATATATCTAAATAGATAGAATATGTATTCTGAACACAAGACATTGTAATAAATTTTTCTCTCAATTATTATGCCTTCCACTAAATTCCATTCCATCCTATCCTTGTCAGGTTATAGAGTCCATTTACTGGAATGCAGTCAAACCCATACACCCAAAACCATCTCTTTCCTTATCTGCTATGACTCTTTCAATCTGCCTTGGGATGGGTGGGTACAGAAGATTCGCAAAAGATGACATTTTGCTTGCATACTGAGTTTAGATATTTTATCAGATACAGAGCCATGCACCCAATTCATTATGAGTCATTCTTTCAGAAGGATAGATGTGTAAGCTTAGCAGGAATTAGTCAAAAGTGATAGGGAAATCTCTCACTTTGAACTTGGCTTGAATCTCTCGTGTTTTTCGCCGGGCCAACACCTGGATATGACTGGAGACCTGAGAAAGGATTCAGAGAGACAAAACGTGAAAAGGTTTGAAGGAGAAGGCAGCAGATTTCATTCCAACTTTCTCAAGGTTTTTTCTTGTGGCTTATAACTCCCTGCCAAACCCTTCTAGTTTACCTGTTTCCTTGTCCGTGTTTTCCCAGTCCTCAACTTGATGTAACGAGCAATGAGCTCATTACGACCTGCAAGACAAGAGAAAAAAGAGAAAATAAGAAAAACAATTGGGAAAAGAGAAAATAAGAAAAACAATTGGTAAATCAGAAATATTATCTGCCATTCTGAGCTCCATGTGGGACAGGGACACTTTTGCAGGTCATTCGGTCTGCCCATGCCATTGTTGGTAAACCAAATTGCTACATTACCAGAGGGATATCAGGTGTCCCATATTCCAGATCATTTGGATAATTAGGTTCCCAGATTTTAGGGTTAGGGATAGATAGATAGATAGATAGATAGATAGATAGATAGATAGATAGATAGATAGATAGATAGATAGACAGACAGACAGACAGACAGACAGACAGACAGACAGACAGACAGACAGACAGACAGACAGACGAGGGATGAATGGATAGATAGATAGATAGATAGATAGATAGATAGATAGATAGATAGATAGACAGACAGACAGATAGACAGACAAAGGGTGAATGGATGGATGGATAGATAGATAGATAGATAGATAGATAGATAGATAGATAGATAGACAGACAGACAGACAGACAGACAGACAGACAGACAGACGAGGGATGAATGGATAGATAGATAGATAGACAGACAGACAGACAGACAGACAGACAGACAGACAGGAGGTGAATGGATGGGTGGATAGATAGACAGACAAACAGATGAGGGGTGAATGGATGGATAGATGGATGGATGGATAGATAGATAGATAGACGAGGGGTGAATGGATAGATAGATAGATAGATAGATAGATAGATAGATAGATAGATAGATAGATAGATAGATAGATAGATAGATAGACAGACAAGGGGTGAATGAATGGATGGATGGATGGATGGATGGATGGATGGATGGATGAACGGACGGACGGACGGACGGACGGGCGGACAGACAGACAGACAGACAGATGGGTGAATGGATGAATGTATAGATCTGCACATGTCATGTACCATAACTCTGAGTGGCACACATAACAATAAAATCATTAAAAAAAGAACAAAAACTCTCAGCACCCCAAAGGCAACACATTTCTACACACCCACATTCAAATGTACTGGGCTCTAACTTCACTCACGCCTCCGGATGGAGAATTCTGGGAGTTGAAGTCCACATGACTTAAGGTTGCCAAGGTTGAGAAACATTTTTCTAATCCTAAAATGCTGCCAATTCCCTCTGTTTTGTCTTTATGAGAGCCTCAAGAAGATTCACTGTATACAGTTTTACTGCATTCAGGACTATGCCATCCAAATATGATCTCCAGCTGACTTTGCATTTTTGTCTTTATGTTTTTGGAGAGATTAGAAACATGTTCCTTGTTTTCAAAATGAACCCAATCCTACATGTTTTTTTTAAAATTGTATTCTGTAGTACCCACAATCATTTCCATACGGAATCATTGGGTTGGAAGGGATCTTGGAAGTCTTCTATCTAGTCCACCCCTATTCAATGCAGGAATGCAAATTCGGAATAGGGAAGCAGAGGCTCACATGTCTACCTACCATACATCTTTCCCTCGTCTGAAAGAATAATTTTGCGCCTCCCACAGGGTGGGTAGATTGCCAGGGCCTCCTGGAAACTCTGCTCAATGTCCGGGCTCCACACCCCTTCGGCATCATTATCCAGAACCTTTTCCCCAGCATCCCCCATCTCTCTGGAGCGGCTGGTCTCCTTTGCCCAGCTGCCAGGCTCTATAATGCCAGGAGAGATACCTAGAAGCAAAGAAGCAAAAGAAATGTTGAATCTGAGTTAAGGCTTCGCAAACCAATTCAACAATAGCAAAAAAGAAAGCGGTCCATTTAAGGAAATGTTTCCAATCTAATCTTTTCTAGCTACAGGTAGTCCTCGACTTACAACCATTCATTAGGTGATCATTCAAACATTATAACAGCACTGAAAAAGGTGACTTAGGATCATTTTTCACACTTAACGACCGTTGCAGTATCCCCAAGGTCATGTGATCAAAATTTGGAGGTATGGCAATTGCAGTGTCCCGGGGTCATGTGATCACCTTTTGTAACTTCTGACAAGAAAGTCAGCGAGGAAGTGAGATTCCCTTAACAACCGTGTTACTAACTTAACAACAGCAGTGATTCACTTAATAACCGAGGCAAGAAAGGTTGTAAAATGGGGTAAAATTCGCTTAATAACTGTCTTGCTTAGCAACAGAAATTTTGAGCTCAGTTGTGGCTGTAGGCCGAGGATTCCAAAGGATTACCACTGGATTACAGATCCTATCACTCTCAGCCAGCATAGTCAAAATAGAGGCTTGAATGTAGAAAAAAAACCTGAAAACCAGCTCTCTATGCATCCTCAATTTGGGTCTCCAAGTTTTATTAGACTATTGCTTTGATCACACATTTGGAACTGGTTGGGGAGGATGGAACTGCGCTCCACCATCATTTGAGAGTCCAAAGCCAAGAACATCAGAGATAAATGATTTTGTCTGGCAGCTCTGAAAAGACATAATATTTGCAAAGCTGATATACATGAAGAGAGACAGAGAGAAAGAGAGAGCTCTGGGTTACAGATGGGCTAAGAGCTGGACCTTCATAAGAGTTGGCATCATTTATTCTAGCCCAGCCAGGCTTGAAAAAAAGGGCTCAGTTCTCCTGTTTTAGAAAGACAATAAGGAATTTAGATGCTGACAACCTTTTTTTTTCACCATTTTTGTTTAAATAGGAAGATGGTGTCTGTTGGTATAAAAAATTCCTTCCTCCCTCCCTCCCTCCCTCCCTCCCAGCATATTTACAATCCACTCTAATCACAAAGGACTCAGGGCAGCCCACAAAATCACCCAAGAGAAAACCAAAATCATCCTAAGTAAACTTGAACAACAGCAAAAATAACCACAAAAAGCAAAGCCATCACAAAAAGTAAAGCAAAGTTTAATCTCCAAATAAAAATTAACTTTGGCCTACACTTAGCTGGGACTGAAGATGTATTAAAACAAAAGCATTTTAACCTTTTGGGGGGGAATTGTGGTAAGGTGGGGGTTGCATTTAATTTGGGGGGAAGTATATCATAAGCAGGTGTTGGCTGATATATCCTGATGCTGTGGAGTTGCTTTAAAAAATGTCCAACTCTTTGAATTCAGCATGGAAGCCTAACAACAAGTGATGCAGTGACTTTAATATACATATCATACTGCTATGTTTAATACTAACTGCAGTTTTAGATTATCTCCAAAGTCAGCTGCAGGTTGAGCCCATTGTGAAGACCACCTGATCAATATATAAATGAGCAATAATGACAGATATTGAAATAACTAAATAACCAGTTCTAAAGTCATCAACAAAAAAGGATCTTCAGATATATCTTTACATCCATAGAGTTGAAACTGGAGGTAACTATAAATTCAGAGGCAGTTAAAGCTTTTTTTTTTAATCAGGCAAATTTAAATTCTCATGTGTAATCCAATATAAATATTTAGATTCTGCCCTACATATTTTATCCTGCTGTGACTCTTACAGTCAAATTGCCATATTAAAAAAAACTGAATAATTTCATAACAACCGTGTAAGATAGGTTGGCTTGCAAGGCTAGCCTTTTTCAGTTTAGTTCAGAAGAAGCCCATAACTACACTGACCTTTATTGTTAGATATTTGTATAGTTCTCAGGAGATTATAATAGCTTCTGACATCTAGTTATTTTAACAGAGAGAGGTTACTGCTGATATCTGTATTCTAGGCTGTTTAATATAATAATGTTTGTTGGAAAACCAGAAGTGGTTTCAATGGTAGAACACAATTCAGTGCTGGTTCTGAAAATGTATTCTTATGCCAAACATAGGCTTGGAGATCAACATTATTCCAAGTGTGTATTACCGGTACTCAAATCATTAGCTGAAGTTGGTAGATTCTTGACCTCAGGAGAGCCAAAAAACATATAAACAGAAAACAAAGGCCATTTTACAAGCCTGAAGTCTGCCCATGTTTTGCACCAGGGTAGTCTGGAATTACACTTAGCACAAAGTTATGTTTTGTAGGAAATAAGGCCTCTAATGCTCTGTTTCTCAACCCTGGACACTTGAAGATGTGTGGACTTCAACTCTCAGAATCCCTTAACCAGAATTGGTGGTAACCCATACATCTTCAAGGGGCCTAGATTGAGAAATATTGCTCTAAAGGGTGATTAGGGAGATCTAATGGGATTGGAAAGTCAAATAAATTTGTCCATTTGGTTTCTCTATCAATTTCCCATTTTCGCTTTAACTTTGTCTAATATAAGCAATGTTGGCAAATATATGCATTTTCATATTATTATACATAAACATTTTGGGCGGTTATATATTCCATTATATACACCTTTTTTACTGGCACACATGACTGGAAATAAAAGTAAAATCAAGTTGCAACTGAACTTTGGATCACAAATCACATAAAAGCATCTTCAAATGCAGAGTAAATAAATACACTTTATTTACTTTAAAACAGGGGTCTTCAAACTTGGTCCTTTTATGACTTGTGGACTTCAACTCCCAGAATTCCTCAGCCTGGCATGCCTGGCTGAGGAATTCTGGGAATTGAAGTCCACAAGTCATAAAAGGGCCAAGTTTGAAGACCCCTGTTTTAAAACATTTATATAGCCACGCATCTTATGTCAAATTCTGGTTTTTAGCAAAACAGGCCCATAACAAACAATTGGTTTGCTTAAGAACCGTAGCGTGACTATCACAAAAATGTCGTAAAATTGGGTCAATCACGTGGGTGATTCTCTTTATGACTGTCATGGCTTACGACTTTATTGGGCAGGCTCCATTACAGTTGTAAGACGAGAACTACCTGTAATTCAAGTGGGAGATTACCAAGGCATGGGTGACCTCCTTCACTTCTCCTACATCCCTAAGGGAGGGGGCATATAGTCAGAAAAGTCAGGATAGCAGCCACCACAGCACAAAGCCCAGCTGTTCTTTACATCAGGGCTTTTCAACCAGTGGTACGGGTACCACCTGTGGTACATTGGCACCTGGCAGGTGGTACGCAAACATCCTAGAAAAGTAGCGGGGGAGGGGGATGAGCTGAGTCAGTGGCAGCACTGAGCGAGAGATGGCTGGAGCTGCAGGGCTGTCAGGGCCCAGCGGAAGTGCCAGGATCAGCGCCAGGCTCCAACTGGAGCTCAGCACTGATCCTGGCGCTTCTGCTGAGCCCAGAAGAAGTGCCGATCAGCTGGAATGTTGCAGCATCTCCAGGGTCTTGTGATTTACATTCAGATGCTTGGCAACTGATTCATATTTATGACGGTCACAGTGTCCCAGGGTCATGTGAAGTGACCAAAACCTGCTGCAACCACCCAGCAGACGGGGGGAATAAAAACCAAACACCCCCCAACCCACCCCCGCTGCCAATCCTCAACAGAAATGCTCACAACAATGAAAACCTCGAACAGGAGGAAGAGTGCGGCTCGGTGGGCAGGCAGGTGTCTTGCTCGGCTGTGGCTTGGGGGGCACTTTGTTCAGTGCCATTGTAACTTCGAACAGTCACTAAGCGAACTGTTGTAAGTCGAGGACTACCTGTACTTTATTACTTTTTTCCTTTTTTTTTTTGGTCATCAAGTTTATGACACCTTGCTAGGCGACTGGTGGTACTCGGATGTTGCCATATCCTAAAAGTGGTACAATGGGTGAAAAGGTTGAAAAGTCCTGCTTTACATACATCCTTGCACATAAAACAGGCAGAAATTACATTGCTATGGCTGCCATCTTGATTTTTCTTTTACCTCACTGTGGATCTGTGGATACCCCTGGGGAAAAGCATTCCTTACACACATTGAGCGGGCAGCCAAAACTATAAATTATACTGCAGAAAGTGCTGAGGAGTGTAACAATAATTCTATAGGGAAGGAGTGTCGGAAGGAAGCAGGAAGAATTCTGCTTACCAGTTAAACAAGTGCTAAAGAGGCAAGCTTCCAAAAAGATTTTTTTTTTTTAAAAAAAAAAAAGTGGATTAGAACAAAAGAATAGAACAGAATAAGAGTTGGAAGGGACCTTAGAGGTCTTCTAGTCCAACCCCCTGCTGAAGCAGGAAACTCTATACTATTTTAGACAAATAGTTGTCCAATTTCTTCTTTAAAATCTCCAATAATGGAGCACCCAAATAAAGACCTCCAATTTACCGATACTGCTTGGGATGATCCATGAGTGCCAAGAATTTTGCATAGACGTGAATTAAGCATTGGTTTGTGTTTGTGAATCATGGCTGATGGCTTAGCATAATATAAAACCAATCAACTGTGGTTTATTCAATAAACAATGATCAAACCTAACTCAGATTACTACAAAAAAGGAATGAGCCTTCAGTGGCTCTTTGATAATCCCTGAGGCTGGCACTCAGAAAGTATCATGCTGGGAAATGAAACAGATCTGAAAAGCAATTTTCTAAAGAGCAGATCACATTCCCCCCACTCCCCTTTCCATATGGAAGTCCAACATGTACTAATTAAGCTTCCTCCAGAGAAACTAGATCCCTCAAAAAAAGAAAGAGCAAGCCACCCACCTTCTCTTTGTCCCCCCTCCCAACCTTTGCTGTTTCTTGTCAAGTTGAAACCCAGTTCTCTGCTTGGTTACTCCAGTTCAGATGACCTCTGGAGCACAGTTCATCACAAGACAAAGGAGCCCTCCAGCCTGGATTACATCTTTCATTAAAGACAGGAAGGGGGTTAGTTCTTTCATCTCTGATCGGATTTTCCTTTTCTTTTTACA